TTGCTGGGGGGGGGTTGGGGGGGGTGAAAGTTCGAGATTTGGATTTGAAGACTTTTGGGTGTCTTGAGGCAGTATGTTGAGGTTAACGAAACACTGTAAAACACAGCAAAACATAAGACTTTTTGGCATAATGAATGCAATGTTTTTTGACAAACTGGGCCCCGACTTTCCACAAGGGGCATCGGATACAAAAATGACAGAGACAATGCTAAAAAAGTCGCTGGCATTCCACAGCACCACTTGCATCACTACGAGGTGCATGGGAGGCACAAAGAGCACAGAAGAGACGGAAACAAAGCAAATCAACTTGAGATGAGAATTCTTTGACACCCAGGCCCACAAGACGACAGAAAGAGCACAGAAGAGACAGAAACAAAGCAAATCAACTCAAAGCAAATCAACTTAAGATTTTTGACACCAAGGCCCACAAGAAGACAGAAAGAGCACAGAAGAGACAAGGCCCACAAGAAGACAGAAAGAGCACAGAACAGACAGACACAAAGCACATCAACTTAAGATGAGAGTTTTTTGACACCAAGGCCCACAAGAAGAGAGAAAGAGCACAGAAGAGACAGAAACAAAGCAAGAGAGTTCTTTGACACCAAGGCCGACAAGAAGACAGAAAGAGCACAGAAGAGACAGAAACAAAGCCAATAAACTTAAGATGAGAGGTTTTGGGCACCAAGGCCCACAAGAAGACAGAAAGAGCACAGAAGAGACAGAAACAAAGCAAATCAACTTAAGGTGAGAGTTTTCTTGACACCAAGGCCCACAAGAAGACAGACAGAGCACAGAAGAGACAGAAACAAAGCAAGAGAGTTTCTTGACACCAAGGCCCACAAGAAGATAGAAAGAGCACAGAAGAGACAGAAACAAAGCAAATCAACTTAAGATGAGAGGTTTTTTGACACCGAGGCCCACTAGAAGACATACAGAGCACAGAAGAGACAGAAACAAAGCAAATCAACTCAAGGTGAGAGTTTTCTTGACACCAAGGCCCACAAGAAGACAGACAGAGCACCGAAGAGACAGAAACAAAGCATCAACTCAAGATGAGAGTTTTTTGACATCAAGGCCCACAAGAACAGAAAGAGCACAGAAGAGACAGAAACAAAGCAAATCAACTTAAGATGAGAGTTTTTGACACCAAGGCCCACAAGAAGACAGAAAGAGCACAGAAGAGACAGAAACAAAGCAAATCAACTTAAGATGAGAGTTTTTTGGCACCAAGGCCCACAAGAAGACAGAAAGAGCACAGAAGAGACAGAAACCAAGCGAATCAACTTAAGATGAGAGTTTTTGGGCACCAAGGCCCACAAGAAGACAGAAAGAGCACAGAAGAGACAGAAACAGAGCAAATCAACTTAAGCTGAGAGTTTTTTGACACCAAGGCCCACAAGAAGACAGAAAGAGCACAGAAGAGACAGAAGCACAGCAAACCAACTTGAGATGAGAGTTTTTTGACACCAAGGCCCACAAGAAGACAGAAAGAGCACAGAAGAGACAGAAGCAAAGCAAATCAACTTAAGATGAGAGTTATTTGACATCAAGGCCCACAAGAAGACAGAAAGAGCACAGAAGAGACAGAAACAAAGCAAATCAACTTAAGATGAGAGTTTTTTGACACCAAGGCCCAC